CAGACCATATAATGTTCTCGCATGACATCTTTCATCATGTAGAAGCATCGACTCTAGTGGTCACTTTCCGCAATGAACATCTAGGAAGAAAGCTGGCTCTCTATCTCTTCAAGCCCTCCACGCCATTTAGATTCGATAATGAATTGATTCATGGTCTTTGGGAGAAAGGGCACGACATCTTATTTCAGCATAAACACGTCACAATGCAATATGCTTCATGTTTTAGCAATTCAGACAAACAATTGATTAGTGTTATTTTACGCTCATCACACTTGAGTTTAACCGATTATTATTTCATAAAAACCGAGATATCCACTCTAATATTGCTACTAATGACTAATGAATGCAAAGAATTCCAAAATCCTATCTTTATTTTGTTTCCACAGGAAATGGGGCTATACATGAACAAAGTCAAGCACATATATGGGAAGGAGTAATGAGGAGATAAGGAGATCCAAAGTGGGAGGCGCATGAAGCCACTAGAGCGCAAGATGACGTCTCATACGAGCGGCGCCTTCTGATCCACCCCCAGCAACTTTTATAAATGGGCCAACACTAGAAGGGGAATAGAACATCGCAGAAACCTCTATCTTCGTCATCCACAACAACCCTAGCCACTGTCATTTTTCATCTCCATCACCATAGCCATCTCCACCACCATCACCGCAGCTTTCATCCTAGTTAGCCACACATTGTAATCATGCATCGCATCTGGCAACTATTGTAAGACATATTATCAATCAATCAATCTTTATGCGTTGAGTCATAGCCCTACAACCCAATGTATTTGTGGAGCGATCGATGGAAGTATTATGATGTCTTGTGGGTATGAAATAAAATTGCATCGTAGTTGTCTCTTGTCTCGTTTGGCATCTTTGTCCCTGCAGGTACACACGATCACATAGATCGACCCACGGAGAGGCTAAGGGTAGAGAGACCGTGAAATGCTATTTTAGACACGAGTGACAGGAAGGTTTAGTACTGTAGCGTGAATCCTATCTTTGGGGATACAAGAGGTGTAGTCATTAAATGCACAATGCTTTTGTTTACTTTATCTTAATTACCGAGGCAACCCCGCGTGACGGATATGACCTTTGTTGGACAACTGGCTCTGGATCCAGGACATGTGTCGGTCAAGGCGTAATTTGGACACACCCCCAAGCACATCTTGATGCTGACTTCCAGAGCACAAACGACTGTCATGACGACCCCGTTCGTAAATATATGGTTGTAAGAATAAGTCCTCATACCCATGCCTATAAAGTGTTCAATAGTGCAACTTGATTTCAATCTGGTCCAAAAGCTCGAATTTAATTCTCTTGCAAAGCTTGATATAAATCTTTGTCTTAAAAGTGCACTTTCTC